AAGAAAACAAAAGCAAATTCAGAGAAACCCCAATGGTTCCAGGGATTGCTACAGAGTATATAAATGCCTCAAACGGGAGGTATCAGGGTACAGAGAGAAAGATGGTGCATGAGGCTCAGCAGGAAAGTTCAGGGTACAGAGGCTGAAGGAAGAGGAACCAAGAACAGGGTACCAACCAGTGAGTGGGGAACATGGACTGGAGTGATGGGTGTGAGGACTGGAAGCTCCAAGTATTCTGAAGGCAGAGGGAGGAGAAACACAGATGGTGGAGAGAGCTTTGCATCTTAGTCCTTAGAGATACGTGCAGAGGGTGCAGTGGGGATTCCCTGGACACAGAGCTGGGGAGAGCAGAAGAGGGATGCTCTCATGCATGTGTGAGGATGCTCAGTCTTAATTAAGACAAGAAATAATAGAGGGTTTGTGGGAATATCTGCCATGGGACTCAAAGAAGTTATGTTCAAACTGTTTGCACTAGCACAGCTCCTCTTTTCTGCAAAGTAAGAGGCAAAGGCATTTGAGAAAAATTCTGGGCCCTGGGAGGGTCGGTGCAGAGGGCTTACAGTTCAGTGTTCTGAGTTCCATTTATAGCAGATCTGGACCTGGCTGTCTTCAACAGGCTGGTCCAGATGCTGACAAAAGACTAGAGGGAACGGTCCCTGTGGAAGAAAAGAAGCAGGAGGCCAGCTCAGACCTGGGAACAGGCATTTGCAGAGCCCTCCTTCAGTGGTTAGTGGGGTGAAGCCAAAGTGGTCTTGGAAAACAATGCTACTTGGTGTTTGTGCCTAAATAGCGGGGCTCTCTTTGTTAGTACTGTGTATGAGCTAGCTGCAGCTGGATTCCAGGACTGTTTGCCTCTTCACAAAAGGCATGGGTGCCCTTTGCGATTCTTCCCAACTCTGGTTGGAATCCATCTGCCTGTCTGTGCTACCCATATGTGTGGATAATGTGCATTTTATGGGTCATTCAACAATGTATTTGGGTTCTTTTGGTCTCTGAGGTAGTATACCTAAACATAATGTGTTAACTATGCAACTCAATTTTATTCCTATGGAAAACACGTTCAATATACATTTCCTTGCAATTGAATGCTTTCGGAGCATATTTGTGACCAGGCGTGCTTCTTTATGTTGACATATTGTTCATGGGGTTTCATTAGTCAGATGCTATGTCACATCACATATGGAACATGAGGGAAAGTGATATTAATGACAATCTGGTGACATTCAGTACCGTGCAACACATCAGGTTAAAAATAAAACAGGAGCAAGAAGATTTTTCTTGTTTCCAGTGAGATCTTTTCTTTCCTTCTTTCTTTCTTTCTTTCTTTCTTTCTTTCTTTCTCTTGAAAGAGCTGCTCTGTTTGGATTAGTCGTTAATTATTACTGGCAAGGCTTTGTGGGTAACTAGTGATGCAGATATCCACCCACCCCTGCATTTGTAGGTGGAAGAGAAGGAAGAGGAGGAGTTCTGCTGAAGTCTTCGTCGCCTGTTAAATCCCTGATTGTCCAAACCATTCAATTATAACATTTTGTCCTGTTCACGTCAGCTTGTCTGGCATTCAACTTCATGGGGGTGGATCTAGCTGGGGATGCAGGGCACCCTGAAAATGGGCAGCTAGGACTGACTGAAATATTTGAAAGCCAAGTGTGGATGCCAATAAACACCCCGGCACACCAAACACAGGCTGTCTCTGATGTGTGGCTGTAATCCCAACATGAGTGAGGAAAGCTCACATATCACCGTGGTGTGTTGTGGTGTGGTGTGGTGTGGTTGTGGTGTGGTGTGGTGTGGAGGGAGGGGGGGTGGGGTGGGGGGGGCGGGGGGGGGGGGGGGCGGGGGGGGGGGGGGGCGGGGGGGGGGGGGGGCGGGGGGGGGGGGGGGCGGGGGGGGGGGGGGGCGGGGGGGGGGGGGGGCGGGGGGGGGGGGGGGCGGGGGGGGGGGGGGGCGGGGGGGGGGGGGGGCGGGGGGGGGGGGGGGCGGGGGGGGGGGGGGGCGGGGGGGGGGGGGGGCGGGGGGGGGGGGGGGCGGGGGGGGGGGGGGGCGGGGGGGGGGGGGGGCGGGGGGGGGGGGGGGCGGGGGGGGGGGGGGGCGGGGGGGGGGGGGGGCGGGGGGGGGGGGGGGCGGGGGGGGGGGGGGGCGGGGGGGGGGGGGGGCGGGGGGGGGGGGGGGCGGGGGGGGGGGGGGGCGGGGGGGGGGGGGGGCGGGGGGGGGGGGGGGCGGGGGGGGGGGGGGGCGGGGGGGGGGGGGGGCGGGGGGGGGGGGGGGCGGGGGGGGGGGGGGGCGGGGGGGGGGGGGGGCGGGGGGGGGGGGGGGCGGGGGGGGGGGGGGGCGGGGGGGGGGGGGGGCGGGGGGGGGGGGGGGCGGGGGGGGGGGGGGGCGGGGGGGGGGGGGGGCGGGGGGGGGGGGGGGCGGGGGGGGGGGGGGGCGGGGGGGGGGGGGGGCGGGGGGGGGGGGGGGCGGGGGGGGGGGGGGGTGTGGTGTGGTGTGGTTGTGGTGTGGTGTGGTGTGGTGTGGTGGGAGACACATGAAGAGGTGGTAAAGGCTCAGGTGGTAATCTCTTTATGGAGAGGAGGTTCCCTGGGTCCCACAGGTCTCACCTTTACCTTCTCTCTGAGGGAGCTCCATCCCATAGAAATCGGGAAGTGAAAGAAAGAATAAAATGTTATACTTGGGCTGTAAATTAACCCTTTAATTTTCAGATTTTTTTTTTACAAATGCAGAAATCACTCAAGCTGTTCATTTGAGTTGTAGGCATTCTGTGATTTTTTTCTATTTTCTAAATATTACCACTTCATTTTGAGGTTGCATTTATTCCCAGTGTGGTGTAGGCTGCATTTGAACAACAAATTCTTTGGATAGCTGCATATCAACTGAAGAGATGTGGCTGGCCCTTTTGCCTTTCTGTTCTCACTATGTTGCTGCTCAAAACAGTTTTCTGCTTTCTCTGATCCTTGGAGTGTTTGTAGCCTTCCACCTCACTCCTTCCCCCTTCCTTCAGAGACCATGACATTCAAATGTCTTGGTGCCTTTGACTGGACTACTTACATGGGGGATCACTAGCTACAAGGTCATTGCAGACACTCAACTACTCCCCGTTTCTCTTTTCCTTCTGAGTAACTGTCTGGAATAAAGAGGAGCCAAAATAAGGTAGTAATGGGCCAGTGGAGTTAGTTCAAAGTCATATCTCTCTCTGTAAGTTTGTTTGAGACCAAATTTCCTCTCCCAGACTCTTGGACCACCACCTAACAAGATAGAAATAAGTCTGTCTCATACCAGGAGAGGTGGGTTCCTCAAGAAGGGCCTTAATTCATTACTGCAAAAGGAATTATACGCCCAAAGTGAACATTTTATCGGGAGGACCAGTCTGGTCTAATTCTGCATCTTCACCATCATGTGTCTGAATTTGTGTATCCAGCCTTCAGAAGTTTTGTGTGTTGTACTAAGGCAACAAGAATAAACCACCAGAGAGAACTAAGACTTTAAATGTCAGAAACAGTTCCTCTTGCAATTCAGAAGGCTGGGCATCTGGCACCCAAGTGCCAAGAGGATTGGACTCTTAGGGGAGGTTCCCCTCTTCCCCTACCTGCTAATACAGGTGCAAATCCTTGGACTTAGAGCCTGGATTTTAGAGCAATCCTCTAGTGCACTCCTTTGTCTGATCTCAGTGTTCAGTGTCAATCTTTCCATAAAGGCACTAATCTTATTGAATCAGGGGCCCAGCCTATCCCAGTGTGGCCTCATCTTAACTAACTATACCTGTCAAGACTCCATTTCCAAATAAAGACCCTTCCTGAGGTACTGGGAGTTCCAGCACCAACACAGATCTTTCTGGAAACACAACTCAGCCCACTAAACACCTGAGACCCAGCTCATCATCCCGTTGGCCACAAACATCAACTAAAAACCACAAGGATGCTGCTGATTCTTTCACACCCGAAGACAGCGAGGCAGCTGTTCCAGACCGAAGTCTACTTTGACTATTCTTTACGCATGCGGTGGTCTACAAGAAGCAAGGCATTTCAATTTATAAAGTAACTAGAAAAGCTGAGTTCAGATGCATTAATTGAAAACCAATAAATGTACAGTGTATGGCCTCCTAAATTGATAAAAGTTGTTATATTTAGATATGGGGGCAGATTCTATCTTGATTCCCTTCCAGTAAGTGCTGTGTTCCCCACATGGGAGCAACCTCCTACCATCTGCCTTCATCTCTCCTGCACTGATCAAGTAACTTTGGTATTGCCTTCACTGCCCTTCAACCCCCACTCCCCACCCCAGCCTTCCCTGTCTTCTGCTTGATGTTAGTTGGCTTTCATGGGGCATGAAAGTAAAGTGATATTGGTCTCTGGGGAGGACTGGCTTCCCTGTTTACTTGTCTGTACTTCTGTCTTCAAGTAATAGCAAAGCCTCCCTGCCCAGTCAGCCAAGGACTCATCCATCTGTCACTCAGGGACCTCACAGACCTGTTCACTTATGGATAGTTTCAGCAATGTCTACTAATAAACTTTAAAAACTCATAATAAAAGGTCACAAACTCTGGCAACCCCAGAAGTCAGCTCACCTTGTTTCTTCATTTAAAAATGGCTGCAGTGTCTTGTAGCTGAGTGTGACTGGAACAGATAACAGCACACATTTCTCATGGCATTGTTTCTAGATGTAGGTAAACTCTCTTCTTGTGTCACAATATAGCCTGAAGGGACAGCCATTGGTCATTTCAGGATATCCTATGGGTCTATTTTATTGTTGGCATGTTTCTAGGATATGGTGAACCCAAAGTTGCAACTATTCTAGCTGCACTTCAGGATATGTCAGGAAGGTAAACTATAATATTCTAGGATCCTGCTATTGATGGGTTTCAAGGGATCTAGGGATAACAGGCTGACTAAATCTCTTAAGTTTTAGATACATTCGACCTTAAGAAGGAAGCAAAAGTTTTTAGGATTATTAATTTTTATCTTAATATTTTATTTTTATTAGATGTATTTATCCATTGTGTGGGTGTATTGCTATAGCATGTGTATATGTGTGGAGACCAGAGGACAACTTGCAGGAGTCAATTCTCTTCTGGGGATTAAACTCAAGTCGTCACTCTTGGTTGCAAGCAGCTTTATCCCATGAGCCATTTCACCAGACCTTTTTCTTTAAATTAAAATATATTAGCATTGTTAAGGTTTTGAAGACAGCATGAGCCACATTTAAAAATAGTCTATTAATCAATTTGTAAGTACCTTACAAGTCTCACAGTTTTGAATGAATTGAGAGAAAAAGAGACCCTCTATTAAGATCCAGGCAAAACATCAGTAGCCTCGTACTTCAGCCATGTAGCTCTTCATGGCCCATGCTAAAGAAGTATACATTAAACACAAATTATACAAAATATTCAGTAGACATGAAAGCCATATGACGCCTCTGACTGGCCTGAAAAAGATGGTCATATCATCATCTACAAAGCCATGGATCAGAGACATGCTGTCTTCAACAAATAACCATGGGGAAGTGTTTGGTTAGTCAAGGTCCTATGGACACTGACTGACTGAGCTATTACATGGTTATCAGAGTTGCTCATCATGAGCTAGTTGTTGCCACACCCACCAAATCATAGATGGACAGTCACCTTAACAAGTGTTAATCCTTCCAGAAATAGTGACTGACAACCATCTTGGAGTTCAGTAGAACATGAACTTAGCGTGGGTGGGTTTGAAAGATACATGGCATAAACTGAAATTCTAATGGTTGTCTCTGTCCTCAGATTCCCTGGAGTCCCCATTTGTATTCCTCCAGCATCTGGTTGATTCTACTCTGGAAGTCCTGAGAAGCTTCTTTGGACACCAGCCTTTGGCTCCTTGAGTCACCTGAATAATCCATGTACATGGCTCTGGTTATTTAGTTGCTTATGTTGACAGAGGAGGAGTTCCAGGATCCAGCAGTGCAGCTCTTTGCCTCTGGTCAGGAAAGCCTTAGATGAAGTCTCTAATCCTGAGTGTTCAGGCGGAAGCTATATGTGTGAGTTTGCCTGAAATCCCGGCCCTTCTTGGCCTTCCCCCGTTGTGTATGCAGCCTGATGTTTTCTCATTCCTCGGTTTCTCTGGATGCGCATTCTTGATGCACCATCACTTCATGTCAGTGGTTCTCAACCTGTGAGTTGCAACCCCTTTGGAAGCCGAGTGACCCTTTCATGAGACCTAAGACCATTAGAAAACATAGATATTTACATTAATGTTCATAACAGGAGCACAATTACACTTATGAAGTAGCAACAAAATGTAATTTTCTGGTTGCGGGGGTCACTACAACATGAGGAGCTGCATTAAAAGGGTTGCAGCATTAGGAAGGTTCAGAACTGCTGCTTCACACAGAAGCCAACCTCAAGTTTTGCTTCTGTACAAAGTCACCTGTGATGTTCTTTGTCTTGGCCAGAATGTGCAGATCTTGAAGGCTGAGACGGCTTCTCATGAAGTTGAGTTTCTTGCCATTGAGTGTAACCTGAGACACGGATGTGGTAGACAGCCATTAGCGCGTTGGCAAAATTCTTGAGTCATTTTAACAAACTCCGAACAATCATATATTTATATATAACTTACAGGAAATGAAATATTTGCTTACTAAAATTGAGATGTGATTTGCTTTTGGGGGGGGGAAATTACGGGAAGTGATTCTTTTTTGAGATCTTCATTTTATTTTGACATCTTCCAGCATGATTCAGAGACAACTCATTATAAAGGGTCCGTCATATCCCCATCAAGGTGAGAGATGACACAAAAGGAATGCCTCATGGCAAGAAAAATTTATTTCTAAAGTAAAGTTTGATTTTTTTTCCGAGCTCTCACAGCATACAGATGAAATTCCCCTTCCACTTGGCTATCATAATATTCACATGAAATTACAATAAGATGAAGCTTTCACATCAGTCAGAAACCCACAGTTTTTTAGATCTCACACAATACCCCTGATAAGATAATGCATAGGGAAAGAATATAATTGACATAGCAGGCAGGACTCTGCCTTTGATCAGAATGACAAGACCCTCCCACTGCAAGTACTGAGCCCATGGCTTCCCATCCTTATCTTAACTTATTTTAGTTGTATGGAATATCCATGTGGCAGAAGAGGGTGACCTTGTGATACATACTGGCTTTACATAGTAACGCAAGTATAGCAAACAAGACAATGAATGAAAAACATTTGGGAGAAAATATGAGCTAAGAGTAAGCAATGCCAACTTGAGTTCCATAGAGAAGCCTCAGATTCTGAGATGCACTTATTGAGAGAATGCCATGTAGCGATAGCCTGAAGTTTCAGGGTCTGCTCACCTCTGCAATAAGTTTCCATTTTCTCCTCTTGAGTGTCCCAAGGATAGTTGCTATCAGTCATTTCTGGTCATGAGCTGTGACCAGAAGGCAATGAGTCACTCTGGGCTGGAGCACTAATGTCCTGTATGGAAACTTGCTCAGGGTTGGCTTAGGTCCATGCAAAACCACAGTTCTCACCTCAAGGGAAGTAAGAATAGGCTTGTTCTGGAGCCAAATGCAAGGGGCTATGGTCTTTGAACACAGACTGCTTACCGCAAACACCATATTCCAACATGGTAACAGTTGCATGACATTTTTGCAGTAGTAGAACAACATCATTAATCAAAATATTTAAAAGGTGTATTGGTGGAAACATCAGGTAGGGGTTATAGCAAAGCTGGACAGTCTCTGTTCTACACCTCAGGTGCTATTTGATGAAACTCTTATTCTTTGGGCTGGAAGAAGCTGAATTCACGTAATAATCACAAGGGTGATGTTGGTCTTGTTACAGAAATGAGCGTACATGGCTACTAAGTGGACTAAAGATAGCCCAGGGTATTTTGGTTTCTGACTTGCAACATACTGTACTCCACAATCACAGTTCTAATCAGTCATCAGTCTTGGATGTTTTGGATCAGGCGTGGCTTTCTTTTTTCTGAGAAATTTGGTTCATACTTCTATTCTGCCACTGTGCTTAGAAACCTCCAGATACCCGAGGTGGGAATGTGATGGCTGTAGGTCTACTCGATGGCTATGATAAGCATACAATGAGAGTAAGTATAATAAAGTTTTATCAAAACCAACAACATTTCAGTTAGACAGGAGGAATGTGGTCTAACAGACAACTAACATTAGTGGTCTGTTGCAGAACATAGTGACTATGAGTTATATATACATATATGCATATATGTATATATCAAAATTGCTAGAAATACTTTGTGTTCCTACCACAAAAAATGAAAGCAATTGAGAGGATTTATATTTAATTGGTTTAATACATCTAATGCACAACTATATAAAATATCACATTTTAGTTATAATGATTGCAAATGACAATTTTTTAAACAATTAAAAAGAAAGATATTTACCATGTTAGACTCCTGAGAGAATCCTGAGAGAATGACACCCATTGCCCGAAATGGAAGGTGATATTTGTTCACCATCTTCTAGCCATCCATACTTTTTATAATTGAAATACTTTCATAGAATATATTTTAATCATAATTCCCCTCCCCCAACTCCTTTCAGCTCCTCTCCATCCGTTCCCCTACCTACCTAACTTCACGTTCTCTCTCTTCCTTTCTCTCTCAAAAACAAAACCAAAATAAAACCCCTGAACAAAAATGAAAATCAAAACAAACAGAAAAACAATAAGATAAAAAATACCAAAACAAAACCACATAAACAAAACAAAACATGGAGTCGATTCTATGCTAGTCATCTGGCATGTGACTTGCCTTGGAGTGTGGATGATATATCCAGTGACATTTAATTGTAAAAAACTAATTTTTCCATTCTCAGCAGGCATCAATTGCAAATAGCTTTTTGATTAGGCATGGAATTTTGCGTAACTTCCCCCTTGTCAATACTTAGATCCTGTCTGCTTGAACTTTTGCAGGTCTTGTGTGTGGTACCTTAGTCTTTGTGAGTTCATATATGCATCAGAACTGCTGTGTGGAAGTCACTGTTTTCTTGGAGTCATCTCTCACCTCTGGCTCTTATAATATTTCTGCCTCCTCTTCCATAGACCCCCAAGCCTTGAGGAAAGGGATTTAATGAAAATGTCCATTTAGGACTGAGGACTCCAAAGTCTCTCATTCTCTGTACATTGTCTAATTGTGGGTCTCTGTGTTAGTTCCCATGTACTGCAAAAGGAGGCATCTCTGATGACGGCTAACTGAGGCACTGTACATAGGTATAGCAGTATGTCATTAGGAAATATTTTCTTGCTATGTTCCTTTAGCATAATAAGAGTAGTAGGCATTCTCTTAGGCCTAAGCCTGGGACCTATTTCAGATTCTTGGCTACTTTAACAGTATTGGGTATGGATTCCATCTTACGGTCTGGGCCTGAAATACAAAAAAAAAAAAAAAAAAAAAAAAAAAAAAAAAAAAAAAAAGAAAAGAAAAAGAAAAAGAATTAAAAAAGAAAAAAGTGGTTGGTTGCCGGATGTTGGTGGTGCATGCCTTCAATCCCAGCACTCGGGAGGCAGAGACATGTGGATCTCTGTGAGTTCGAGGCCACCCTGGTCTCCAGAGCGAGTGCCAGGATAGGCTTCAAAGCTTACACAGAGAAACCCTGTCTTGAAAAACAAAAAACAACAACAAAAAGTGGTAGATTACTTCCCACTATTGCACCAGTGTATCTTGCAGGCAGGTTGCTGCTGTAGGGTACAGCTTTTGTAGCTGGGTGACATCGCTCAGTCTCTTTCTCCTCCAGTATCATGAAGTGTGCCTTCTAGTACCAGGAATGCCAGTTAGTAGGTGTCAATCGTCTCCTTGGGCACCAGGTCAACTTTCTGATGTCCTATGACATAGTTACTGTCTTCAGCAATAGGGCCGTATCATCAGATTGTGGTGTTTGGGCTCTGTCTTAGGATTTCTATTGCTGAGATAAAACACTATGACCAAAAAGCAAATTGGAGAGTAAAGGGTTTATTTGGATTACATTCCAGCATTGCTGTTCATTATTGAAGGAAGTTAGGACAGGAATTCAAACAGGGAGGGATCCTGGAGACAGGGGCTGATGCAGAGGCCATGGAGGGGAGCTGCTTACTGCCTTAGTCCTCATGACTTTCTCAACCCACCTTCTTATAGAACCCAGTTCTGGCAGCCCAGGGATGGCACCACCAACCATGGGCTGGGACCTCACCCATTGATCACTAATTAAGAAAATGCCTTACATCTGGATCTCATGGAGGTATTTCCTCAACTGAGGCTCCTTCCTCTGATGACTCTAGTTTGTGTCAAGTTGACATAAAACCAGCCATTACAACTGACCCTTGTCAACTTGACACATAAACACATTACTATTAAGCCACATCTCTTTTTTTCTTATTCATCCCTAAGATCACACATTAAAATCATAAATAATTTTTGAAGTCCCTCAGTCTGTACAGATTCAGTGTTTAAAATATCAGTCTCTTTAAAATAGTCACTCTTTTAAAAGTTCAAGTCTTTCATCTGTGGGCTCCTTTAAAAATCAAAATTCAGTACCTTCTTTAAATAGGGAAGAACCAGGACACTGTCACAATCTGAACCAAGCAAAAGCAAACTCTAACAGTATGGAGAACTCAAAGTCCTCTGGGATTCGCTCACGTTTTTCTGGACTCCTGCAAAGGGCTTGGGTCACTTCTCTATCCTCTGAAGCACACATAGCTCATCTTCTAGACTCCACTGGCTCCACTCCACTGCTGCTGCTGTTCTTGGTGGTCATGCCATGGTCCTAGCATCTCCAAAACACTGGGGTTTTCTGCTGCAACTGGGCTCACTTTCACCAATACCCTCTCATAGTCTCTCTTCATGGTGCCAAGCCTCAACTTCTCTGCATGACCCCTTCAGTCCTGGCCTTTAATTGCCACTGAGGCTGCACCTTCACCAGTGGCCTCCCCTGGCCTCTTACAGTGATAAGCCTCAGTGGCTCTCCATGACCCCTTCATACCTTCAAAACCAGTCCCACCTGAGTGACGCTTACACATTACCAAGTCCTGCTGACAGCAGGAGGTACAACTTTGGCCACCTCTGGAACACAGCTTCTCTGTGCTATCAGGAAATACTGCCCAGAAGATTTCACCTCAGTGATGCTTGTCTCTTCTTAATCATCACTAATTTCTTAGCTCCCACCGACCAGCATCAAGTGTTCCAGCAAAGCAAAGTTTTGCTTTAGTAGTTCTGAAATCTTGTTACTCACAAATGATTCTTCAGCCTCAACTAACCAGATCACAGAAAATTAATCCAAAACAGCAAACAGCCCTGGTAGAGTCTTTAAACTTCCCTGTGTAACTTCATAAGCCAGGTCTCCATCCTCTGCACTGCTCTCAAGGTTCTTATCTCCCAAGCTCCTAAAGGACATCCCACACCCAATGGTTCTTCTAGCCCAAAGTTCCAAAGTAGAACTCTCAGATATTTCTTCAGCAACATATCTGCCTGTGTAATGCCATGCCTCCTGCCATGATGATGTTGGACCTCTGAAACTGTAAGCCAGCCCCAGTCAAATGCTTTCTTCTATAAGAGTTGCCATGGTCATGATGTCTCCTCACAGCAATAGAACGCTGACTAAGACAGAGACTGCAGCTAACATAGATCTAAGCATGGCATGGCATGGCAAGCATTTGGCCCTGCCCTACTTTCTGTGAGAGGGTGGGGGGTGGCCTTGGGATGCCAGGTGAGAGCATGAGGAAATCTGACTTTTACACAGGAAATACTGGTCATGTGTCTCACCAGGCTTGGTGGCTGGCAGAAGAGAACTTACAGAATTGCAAATGGATTTGTGATCCATTTGTAGCATTTTTGGACAAGATTTCCCTGTTTCACTCTCCATCAATCTAAACTTCCTTTAAATATATTTTTGCTTTTGTAAAAATCTCTTCTGGAAGGGATGGTGGATGGGAGTTCACAGTCACACTCTTCTCCTGATTTTTAGTTCATCTCATCTAAGTGGAGGCTCCTAATCCCAACCGAAATAGAGTTCAGCTGCTGGGGACTTGTCTATTGCCCACAAGAATCGCCCAATCATGACTGACTGTGACAACATGCCTAGCAGCAGCCCCAAGTCTCAAATAGAGGAGCAGACTTCTCAGGGCTATAACCCCGCACAACTCTTTATTGTGGGAAAACTTGAGGTTTCGGTTAGCCACAATGTGTTGTGGAGGAGCCATACTTGGAAAGCCTGTCCTAACCCAGTGTAAAGCAAAAAATAACTTTCACATTATTGCCAAGAAAATAGCATCTTTTGTTAAAAAGCTGTATGTCGCCAGTCAGTTTAATCTCCCAAGACTGAAGGAGTGTGTGCCTGCCATTTTGAGTTAGGAAAATAAATGTATTTCTCATGCACTGTGGTTTGGCCTACATGTGTCTAGGGGAAGCCACCAAGTTCCTGGCTCTGGAGACACACAATCACACACACACTCCTTCCCAGATAGTTTCTT